GCTGTGAATGCTGCATCAGCAGATATGGAACCACTGTTCCTGGGGGAAATACAGGGTTTGGTTCCTGAGAACCTCTGGTCTTATGAAATCAATTTTTTTTTTTTGCTTTGGAGACAGGGTCTCTCTGTGTTGCCCAGGCTGGCCTCAAACTGCTGGGCTCAAGTGATCCTCCTGCTTCAGCCTCCCAAGTAGCAGGGCCTATAGGCGCGTGCCACTACACACAGCTTTACTCATTAAAAAAAATTTTTTTTTCTCTCTGTTCTTCCCACTAGATAATTTTTATTGCTCTATCTTCCAATTCACTTATTCATTCTTTTCTTGGTCATTTCCATTTTACTTTTAATTCCATTCAGTGATTTTTTAAAAAAAAAATTTGGATAATGTAGTTTTCAGTTCTAGAACTTCCATTTGGCTTTTTAAAATTATCTCTATTTCTCTTCTGAGATTTCCTTTTTATCAATTGTAAGAATTTTTTCCTTTATTACATTAAGCATAATTATAATATCTGCTTTAATATCCTTTTCTGGGCCAGGCACGGTGACTCACTCCTGTGATCCTAGCACCTTAGGAGGCCGAGGCAGGAGGATTGCTTGAGGTCAGGAGTTTGAGATCAGCTAGAGTAACGGTGAGACTTTGTCTCTACAAAAAATAGAAAAATTAGCCAGGCGTGGTAGTGGCACACTTGTAGTCCCAGCTACTCGGGAGGCTGAGACAGGAGAATCGCTTGAGCCCAGGAGTGTGAGGTTGCTGTGAGTTATGATGATGCCACTGCACTCTCCCTGGGTGATGGAGTGAGGCTCTGTCTCAAAAAAGAAAAAAAAAATCCTTTTCTTATAATTCCAACATCAGGATCATCTTGGGTTGGTCTCAGTTGATTTTCTTCTCGCTTGTGAATATGTTCCATTTTCCTGGTTTTTCATATATTGAATAATTAGGACTCGTGTCCAGGACATTACGGATGTTAGATTATGGAGACTCTGACTTCTGTTCTTCTCCAGTGGGTGGTTTATTTTTGTTTTGAAGCAGGCAATTATCTTGCTTGGTTCAGGGGTTAGCCAGAGAAGTAGGCAGACAGAATTTGGAATCCTCTGTCTGGACTTTTCCCTTCCAGCATTGCCCCTCTTTCTCCTGCAACTATAGTTTCCCCAGATTCAATCTTTTGGTTCTACAGGCCAGAAAGAGCAATCTCTCCACCAGTGCCCCTACTGTATCATATGCCTTGCCGAGTACACCTGTCCCTAGGTTAAAAGCCAAGAAAATAGAACTCACGTGCGCATCACTTTCCTCTAAGCATGGACTCGAGTAAGCATCTGCCTGCTTCTAACCCCTCTCCAGTGGTTTCCAGTAGCTGCTCATTATATTTTGTCCAGAGTTTATGGGTGTTATTTGAAGGAGGGCCAGTCTGATAGGCCATCGCTCAGTGACTACTGCCCCAATTATTGTGTTTGGAATGAATTTATGAATATGGATGTTGTATACATTTACAGTACTTAGAATAAACAATTCTCCGTGCAAAGCTCTAACTTGGGGAGAGCTGGGTAGTTATGTACAACTTCCTTATTCTGTTGCTTAGCTCACCTACTCATGTTGAGAAGGGCTTTTCTCAACTCTGAGGCCAACAGAAAGCGCAGGTCTGACCATATCTCCTCTCCTGGGTACTCCTAGTAAATTTGTTTTTCAGCAAGGGTAAGGTAGAATGGGTTTAAAGGTGGGGGGATGGGGTGGGGACTGGGGAGGTGGGAGGAGTTGAGGTCCTTCTGGCTTCTACTTTCCTTCAGGATATGTAACAGATACGGTCACTGGCCAAAATGAGACTAAGGAGAGAAATTAAGTTTTTCAACAAGAAAGTGATCACAGCATTTCTCTCCAATGTGGATATTGTCAAAAATAATGCAGATATTGCACAAAACTCTGGCTACTTGCAAATGGGAAAGAGGTAAAAACTACCTCATGAGTTATGGTGATATTTTCCCTCTCTGATCCCAATTTATCTCCTGATCTTCTGAACCTCTACCTCCTTTTCAAGCTGCCATAACCACAGAGGTCCTTGGCAGGCATATCTACGAGCAACAGAGAATTCGCTGCAACCTGGTATTATCTTTTGGCGCTCTATAGTCTGAGAGATGGTGATTAGAAGGAAAAAAAAATACATAAAACTTCATCAACAAAGTGGCATTTTCATTTCAGCTGTTCCTGGGGGCAAAACAGAGCCATAAAGAGAAATCCCAGATTGAAAGCTTTGTGGTTATCTCCGCTTCTCATTAACGTGCCCCTGATTATAATCACACCTACGATTACAAGATTTAACACACCTGGTCTCAGGGATGCACCAGGAAGAGGAAATCATACATTCATCTCATCCCATTTCCTTTTCTTTATTCCCTGAGCAAGCACAATTTACAAGTTTAAGTGAGTGCAGACTAGGGGTGGATTGGAGAATAGGAGGCTTTTCATTCACATGGCTTTTTGAAAATGACAAAAATCTTCCATGGCCACAAATTATTTTAGTACTGGTGAGACAGACGAGCAACGTTGCTTTCATTGGCTACAAACAGATGTGAGAAATCTGGATACAGTTTCTGTTTCTTCTATTTCTTCTCTGACTTTACTAAGGACATTTTCCTCTGCTTTACATACAAACTCTCTCTCTCACTCTCTCTCTCTCTCTCAGTAAGGGTGTGTGCACTTACACAGTTTTGCAGATTTCTTTTAATAGCGTTGTAACTTATATTTTAAATAAATTTTTATTTTGAAAGAATCTTAGATTTGCAGAAAAGTTGCAAAGATAGTACAGAGTCCTGTATATACCCCTCACCCAATTTCCCCTATTGTTATTAACAACTTACGTAACGATATATTTGCCAAGAGTTTTGTAGATCTTAACAATGGATGAAAAACACTGATCCTTAACTCCCTCTTGCACAAGAGCATCTTAACAAGAGCAGTGTGTACCCTGTAGCGATTTATTTAATTATACAAATTATACATGGTCGCTCATCCCCATCAAGGTCCTAGGACCTAGATAATAACCTGGAACCGCCAACTTCTCCAGTTCCTGAGCAATTCTATCTCTGCAGAAGGTTTTATGAGTCAGCCAGGTCATTCTTCCCCGTTCCCCTTTGTGTCACGATTAGTTGCCTATCCAATGTCCATCTCCTGCCATCTTCCTTGCTGACTAAAATTCAATTTTGTTCAGAGTAGCAATATGCCAGCTAAATTTCCTGTTGGGCTCCCTTGCAGCTAGTAATTATCAATGAAATTATGTGAGACAGTTCTGGGCAATAAAATAAAGTAGAAGTCTGGGGGGAGGGTAGTTCTGAGAAACTTTTCTAGTTCTCCCCAAAAAGGATACAAAAACATCTAGGGCTGCCCTTCTCCCATCTTCTTTCTTACTCATTTAAATCAGTCCCAGTGGCCAGAGCTGCAGTAGCTATTTTGTAGTCATGATACAAAAAGGCCATGACGATTATAGAAATATCAACCCTGTGGACATTGAGCTGCTAAACAAACACCACCTACATATTTCTTGTGATGTAAGAAAAAGATTCTTGGCCAGGCGCGGTGGCTCATACCTGTAATCCCAGCACTCTGGGAGGCCGAGGCGGGTGGATCGCTGAAGGTCAGGAGTTCAAGACCAGCCTGAGCAAGAGCGAGACCCAGTCTCTACTAAAAAATAGAAAGAAATGATCTGGACAACTAAAAATATATATATAAAAATTAGCTGGGCATGGTGGCACATGCCTGTAGTCCCAGCTACTCGGGAGGCTGAGGCAGAAGGATTGCTTGAGCCCAGGAGTTTGAAGTTGCTGTGAGCAAGGCTGATGCCACGGCATTCCAGCCTGGGCAACAGAGCAAGACTCTGTCTCAAAAAAAAAAAAAAAAGAAAAAGATTCTTATTTGTTTAGGCCATTGTAGTTGGAGTTTTTATAACTTGCAGTTAAACATGTTCAGATAAACTCGTTTAATCGAAACCTTAACCTACACAAGGCAGGAGAAGGGAAAGAGATGTAGCTGAGCATAAAACACAGGAAAGTGGCCATTTGGAAATTCAATGGCCCAGCCACTGAGCTGTAACGACAGCAGGGAAGTGTTTAAAGCGAAAATGTGGCTGTGTTGGGAAGGAAGGGGATAACTAACGAGTCCATGCTTGTACAAAAATGGTGTCAGAAACTTGATATGGTGAAATTCTAGCATAAATAAAGCCTGTGTGTATGACAAAACAATCATTCTTAATAAAGGCTTCACTGACACTTGGTTAAATACCAATGTGCCAGCCACAGACGAGCATTGTGGATGCTGGAAAGTGAATTATTTATGCAAACTCTCTGCACGAAGTCAACTGGGAATGAGATTCCATTAAAATCAAGAAGACAATTAATTTAGAGGTCACTCACTCTTAGCACACATATGGATATATACACTTGCTTCCTGTACTGGCCATACACTGGGGAGAAATCCAGCCAAACCGACTTGAAGGAGGAAAAAGGTTTAATTTATGCAGCAACTAAAATCTCATGGACTGAATTCAGCTAGAAAGGAAACATCTTATATGAGACCCTTTATTAATTCAGTATGAAAACTTAAATGAGTCAGGAAGACAAGTCACTAAAGTTCAGGCTACAGAGGCAGGGTTAATGTGTTCCAGCCTGCTCACCTTGGAGCCTGTCCTTATGGTGAGAATGCCAGGATCAGGGCCTCAGTCTATAACCTCATGCTCTGGTTTTTCTGCAGCAGTTAGTGTGTAGCTTGTGCAATATGTTAATAGAGGAAATAGAGACTCTTATTGAAGATGCAAACAATACCATTTCCTGCTACAAAATCTCTATTGACTGATTCATTTGCATGAGCCCATTTAGGGAAAAGGTTTGAAGCTTTCCCAGGTAAAAAGACTTAGACAAAAAAACAAAGAGGTAGAGAAGTTGCAAATGGTGAGAGACTGACTTACCTCAGTGGCTTTCTGGCTGAGTCCCCGAAGCAGTAGCACAACCACGTGGACGGCAGCTCTGCGCACTTGAACTTCGCGGTCTGTTTTAGCCACAGCAATCAGGCAAGCTGTTACCTAGGAAAGTGAGGAAAGAAGTCAGTAAGAATCAGGGTTGTACAATTACCTATAGCCTTTCCAGTGTGTTCCACTTACTACACATTCATCGAGAGCAATCTGGCTTAGAGAGGGGTGGATAATTTCCTCATCCTCAATAAAAAGAGCGAGATCTAGTGGTAGAGATCTTGATGCAGTCTGGCTTTTCTGGAAAAGGACAAAATCTGGCTTGGAATTCAGGAGGGAGGTTAGGGAGTGGGAAGGAATATGTGTCCTGTATAGAAGATGTATTTTTAAAAAGGTAAGGTCAAATGCAAATATTTCTGCAAAAGTGGTAAGAATTATTACTTGTCCTTCTTTGAGAACATTGAAAAATGGAAAAAAGATGGTCCAAAGCAAAGCTGCTTCTAGAGACTAAGGACCATGGGGACTTAGCCAAGGAGGCTTCAGAGTTCAAGGCCTGACACGAAGATGAATATACCATTAATAAAGGTTTCAGCCCAGGGATACAGAAACACCGAAATATTCAATGTGATCTTCTTCGGCATGTCCAGACGTCCCAGTCCTACAAATCTAGTGTACACCCCATGTGAGTCAGCAGAGGCCAATTTCAGAGACTCCCTGCCTGGCCTTCTTCATTTGTGGAATAGGTCTTTCTGTGCTCAATTGCTTTAAAAGACAGTTCTATAACAGAAAATAAAGACTGGAAATTACTTGCAAAACATGGTGCCAGATATATAGCTAATAATCGTATGTCATAAAGTGATACAGGTTGGGTGTGGTGGTTCACACCTGTAAACCTAGCACTCTGGGAGGCCAAGGTGAGAAGATCACTTGAAGTCAGGAGTTTGAGACCAGACTGAGCAAAAGCGAGATGCCCTCTCTACAAAAAATGGAAAAAATTAGCTGGGCATTGTGATGTGCCCCTGTAGTCCCAGATACTCTGGAGGCTGAGGCAGGAGGATCACTAAAGCCTAGGAGTTTGAGGTTGCTGTGTGCTAGGCTGACACCACTGCACTCTAGCCCAGGTGACAGAGCAAGACTGTCTCAAAAAAAAAAAAAGATACAGTTTCTATACCCTGTACCAGCCACTCTGCCCCTACTTGGCTCCTGGTAGGCACAAAAATATTCTAAAATCCTTTTATTCCATCTAGATCATGAAAAATAAATAAAATATCAATAAAGATATACAATTAAAAACAATAACAACCAGAACAAACCCTTCTGAAACATTCATACAACATTTAAAAAGAAAATATAAATTTTGAAAGTGTGACCAATGGCAAGAACAATGTGAAGGTACATCTAAATTATTCGATTGGTCTATCACAAACTTTTGTTATTGGATTTACTGTGTGAGTGTATTTCTTGGCCAACAGTGCAGGCATTTCTAACCATGATAAGAAAATAGCCAGATTGTGTGTTTGGAAACATGTATAAATACATATTATGTTTAAAGAATGGTGAATATGGGCACAAATGAGGAAATAGGCTTGTGCAGAAATATTAACTATGCAGGCTGTATTTTTCACAGCTTTCAAACAGTTGGGCATAGTTCAAAGTGTCTAATTAATCAGTGATGGCAGAGAGATTAGAAGAAGTAGCTTGTTCTTAAATATAATTGCATCTGTGATACACTGGCATTTAATCAAGTTATACATCTATTAGACAAACTTGCAGCTTCCAAGTAAAGACAAATCCCAGAAAAGCTCAACTTTTGGGGGACTGTTTTCAAAAAGACTCAGCAAGCTGCTTCTGCCTTTGACCTGGGACCCCCCCGACCCCAAAGGCCAGCAGTGGCTTCTATGCCTCTGGCATTAACGGTAAAAGCAATTCAGTCCTAAGAGGAATTCCTTGGGCGACCTCCAGACAGGTAACAATGTAATAGCTACCTCCACTTTCAGGCTTAGTATTTACAAGGTAAGAGCTGAAACCGGAGAAACAAGTTAGAGCTAGGTCTGAGTCCTTCTTGACACAGGGAAGTTGAGTTTATGCAGTCTGATAACTAATGTATGAAAGCCAGCCCAGGGCCATGTAACGAGCAGAGGATCCCAGGCATTTTGCCGGCTCTCCTGTAGGTTTAGCTTTGGGCTCATGCTTCCATGTTTGGCAGACCAAGCCTTCCTGGCCTGGAGTCTGCCTTTGCCACCTCTGTTTGGCCTTGCTATGCTGAGTGGGCTATGCTTCCACCTCAGCTTACACTGAGGACAGTTGGGCATTAATTCCACCATTGGGATATCCAGTCAGAAGCATCCTGGCTGGAAAAGGGATTTCCTTTCAAGGCGAATTCTTGAATCCCTGTGCCACCTTGAAGGTATGACTGAGAGAGGAGCTGGTTATGACAAGCCCTGCTGAGATCAGCTGGAATAACCTCCTGCTTGCTACAGGCTGTTAGGGACTTATGTGCCAGACGTACCAAGCTCATGGGCAGTCAGCCATCCAGGGCAATCAGGAAGAGTGTTGGTGAACCTTCCTCAACACCTCTGTCCCAGGACCAAACCCTGTGACATGTATAATGGTTAGTCATGCAAAATGCTTTTTGAACATCAGAATTTTAATACAGTCTTGCAGATACCATCAAGAGATAAGAGCAGCCTTCTTTAGTTCAGGACAAGCTCCCGTAGCCAGCTCAGAATGCTGCCCTCCTGCAGGCTAGAGGGACAGACCCCTCATCCAACACTAGAAGCAGGGAGGATGCATGGCCACTCTCTTCTATCTAACCAGCCTGGAGAAGTCACTCCATGGCTGGTCTCTCACCTCTAACCCCAAGGACATACTCAACATTCTGTTCCACCTCTAGAAGGCTTAGTGAATGACAGATAGATGATGTAAGGTCTTTACTAATTTATGAGTTGGTGTAATATTTCTATTCTCCGTGTCTAAGTCCTCCCAGAGGGCAGAAATCCATTCGGTGTGATCTTCACGTTGCCCGCCCTGAGGGTCAATGTACCTATTCTAACAAACCCTACTATGGAAGGCTTTCTCTTCACTGGCTAAATCACGTGAATCACGTCCACTTCTGAAATTCATACAGGAGAAACATGATGATTGCTTTGGAAACATTAAAGGTCAGTTTAAGCAATTTAACACTTGGCGGGAGCCAACGGAAATAAGGAAAAACATCACTCTCCGAACAGCTGGCACACACCAAGCATAACCAGAACTATGTCAATAAAGATAAAACAAATGGCAAGATTACCAAAAACTGACTTTGGAAAATTCCAGGCGAGAAGGTAACCCGAGTTGAGGTATGTATCCAGGAAGCATGACTTCAATTTTCCAACTGTAGCTTTATCCCTTTTCCTAAAGCTTCATTTGTTAAAGTTCAGCCAGGCTGCTAATTGGTCTGCAACTAGACTATCTGTAAACTAAGAAATCTTACCAGCAAAGGCAGTGTGAACAGCAATTATTATGAGCTGGGCTTACTCGCTCAGCCTGCCATGAAAGAAGCCATGGCAGCTACTTTAGCTTCCTTGGGGTTTCCCGGAACATCTACCCACGTCCTCATGTCAGGAGTTTACAAATCCACAAATTGTATGAGCCCTGTCACTTAGAAAACCATACTGATCGTGACAAACCTGGTGATAAATTCAGACCATTCAGTGGGATCAGAAGCAGTAGCTTTGTACCAGGCCTCAAAGCTCAGGTGTGTGGAATTCTGGGTACCACACTAAAAGGACACTGCTCCATGGTCTTGTCACCTGGGGTGCAGCTTGTCTGCTGTACTGAGGACAGGCCTCTCGCTGTGGTTCACTTAAATCATATATACTCCTCATAGAGAATGATAAAGATGAAAGAACCAATCAAGATTTGGTTTTGAGCAACAGAGCTCTTGACAACAACAAGGAGAAATTGGGGAAAAAATAATAATGCTCTCTACACAGGCTAAATCCTGACATCAACAGAGGGGAAAAACTTAAATTCCTGGTAGAAGACTGGAAGGGTTGAGCCCACCCTTCATGTTCCTGCCCCCAGCCGGCACCATCACAGCACAGACAGCACCCGAATCTGGGCCACCCGACAGTCAGGATCACCTTCTCCAGGTGCCCAGGAGCTGCAGCCAGCCAGGAAGGGCGCTGGTGCCCCAGATCGGATCGTGTTAGAAGGGACTACAGTGGCTACTTTGTTTAATTCTATATCAAAATAGATTACGCTTCTGCTCTGCCTGGCTAACACTCGATCAACGTGCTCTTCTTGACGCCCTGTTGAGTCCGGGTTCCCGCAGCACCTGGCGCTGGCCCTGTCAGATCACTCTGGTCCCTGTCTATTTGCTCCTCTGTGTTTCACACTCTACCAAGATTTCCTTCGGGGAAGAGATTGGGTCCTTTATCTGTGTCTTCCAGCATCCCTGGCACATGACAAATGCTCACGAAGGAGAATTCCTTCAGTTTGCAAAGACAAGTGTCCCCAAAGTCAAAGTTCCTACTCCACCTGTACGCACTGGCGCTGAGCAATTGTGAGACTGTGAAAGGGTTCAAGAGCTTTCATGAAACACTGAAAGAATGTCACAGAAGAAGCTACAGTAATCTTTTAAAAGAAGTTAGATCATTTCATTCCTTTGCTCTGGCCTCCCATCTTACACGTAGGAAAAGCCAAAGTCTGTACAAGGCCCCACTTGGCCGCCACCTTTCTCATGCCAACTCCTGTGACTGTTCCTCTTACCCTCTTCTCTCAGGCCACACTGGCCTTGCATGTCAAGCCTACACCTGCTTCCGGGTCTCAGTACTTGCAGCTGCCTCCACCTGGAATGCTCTCCCCTAGGTATCTGGATCAACCACTTGCTTCCTCAGGTCTGTGCTCAAATGTCACTCGCCATCCAAGTCATGTACAATAACAAGCTCCCTTTGCACCCCTTCTCTAGTCCCAACTGACACAGAGTAAGTATTCGGTAAATATTTGTTGAATTAATTAACAAATGAATGGAGAGCTGCTTAAGAGCCATGCCAAATTCCCCACTCTTTCCATGTAAAGGGACTAGAGTTGTTGGACTGCAGGAGGACTCAATGGCTGGAATACTAAGA